GAGGAAGAGGAGGATACAGATGATGACGACCATCTGATACACCTGGAGGAGATCCTCGTGCGCGTGCATACTGACTACTACACGAAATACGACAGGTACCTCAACAAGGAGCTGGAGGAAGCTCCAGACATACGGAAGATTGTGCCGGAACTCAAGAGCAAGGTGCTGGCAGATGTGGCTGTGATATTCAGTGGGCTGCACCCAACAAACTTCCCAGTTGAGAAGACCCGGGAGCACTACCATGCCACGGCCCTGGGAGCTAAGGTCCTCACCCAGCTGGTGCTGAGTCCTGACGCCCCTGATAGGGCTACCCACCTCATTGCAGCACGGGCTGGTGAGTGCCTCCCTGCCAGCCAGCCAGCAGTGTGCCCAGGGTGCATATGGCCCTGCCTGGGCTTGATTGTTGTTCCTGTCCTTGAGGTTTGCACTGCTGTCCAATTTCATGGTGTTTTCAGGGATGTTTTTCATAACAATGATCTTCTAAGAATGGGTTGATAACTATCTTTTAGTGAAATTCTTTTCCTGTACATACTCTGCATGTATACACACATATCTGTTCACCTTGCTGTCTGGGGTCCTTTGAACAATTGCCTGTGTGTACTGTTTGTAAAATTAATCTTCTCCAGGAGTAGCAGGCCCGGCTGGCTGGGAACAGAGTTAGTGATGGTGTTACCCTGGGGAATTGGGAGGCAAGAGATGTTGAGATCTCAAGTGAAAGACAGGCTAGCTGTCTCAGTTAGAAACAAATTGCAATGTTTTCTTGGGAGCAAAACAGAGTAACTTACTGCAGATGAAGTGGAGACGAATCATCTCCATATAGTAGCTTCTCCTCGGGTAGTGCTGGCCACCTCTGTCATTTCTGAGACTTCAGCCAAGGAAAACAGATCTCCTGTTCTGGGCAAGTAATAGGCAAGTCTCAGAAGAATGCCTAAGAAAGCAAATACCTAGTTACCTTTTACAGTGCTCCTCACAAGAAATTTGACTTTTCCCAAATAAAGATCACCCAGATAGCTCTAGGTGTGCTTCGCCCAGAGCTGTCTCTTCTGTGAGCAGTCAGTGAGTTAGGGCTTCGCAATACATGACTTCACCTCCAGGCTCAGATTGCTGTGTTGAGGTTGGCTGACCCTCAGCAGTGTGCATGAAGGCTAGCACCACCTTGTTTCACTCTGGTTTCAGTCCCTGTAATTGCCCAGTAGAGCATTTAATAAAGAGCTGTGGAAGGCTCCTATTGCAATACGTGGTGTGGGTTTGCTTTTGTGCTCTGACCTCATGTCTTGTTGTTGAAGGCTTTGCCTTTGCAGTAAGTGACTCATGAAGATAGCTAACCAGGGATGTGCTGGACTCCTCACAGCATGGGGTCCCTGTGAAGTGTCTACAATATAACTCTAAGATCCCAGAGCAGGGCAGGAATAGCTAGAGCTGGAACAAGGAGTTACCCAACAGAGAGTTGGGCAGAGGCCCTCCAGGAGACCCTTGGGGTGCACAGAGAATGGAATGTGAAGCCATGGGAGGCAGAGGACAGCACCGGACCAGGTGCAGGAGTAGAGTCAGTAAGTTCCCAGAGTCCTGCGGGATGGTGGCCACATGTAGGGTAGTGGCAGCAGCTAGGAAAGGACCATTATGGGTCACCTTGGGGAGAATTGACAGGATCTGCTAGTGGATACAGTAACGGGGTGGGGCTCAGAGGGGCCTGGGATATTGGGGAGGAGGGGTGGTAATTGAGGTACTGGCACGTTTAAGGACAGAAATCCTGCTGGTGAGGTTCCATCCCCCAGTGGTTGTGACTGAAGAGGATACAGGTCTGCAAGCCTGGCCTTGCAGTCCATTCCTGAGTGGCAATGTGCAGCCCTTCCCCAGGGCATCCCTTCTGCTGCTTCTGTGTCCTAGACACTCCTGCCCTGGGGCTGAAGCCATCCTAATGCTTGGTATCCACAGGCACAGAGAAGGTGCGCCAGGCACAGGAGTGCCGGCACCTGCACGTGGTCAGTCCAGACTGGCTGTGGAGCTGCCTGGAACGCTGGGACAAAGTGGAGGAGCAGCTCTTTCCACTCACAGATGACGACGCCCGGGCACACAGGTACACAACCCACTCAGAACAGTTCCCTAACACCTGGCCTTGAGCATGAGTCTGGTTGTGGTGATGGATCCCCTGGAACCCTAAGAGCAGGGCTAGTAGCCTGCAGCTCCACTTGATCTCCATGACTGTCCTGGTTTGTAGGTGGGAATCATAGGCTTGGGTGTAGTGAGAGAGGCCTCATCACTGGTGGGTGTCCCTCTAGGATCCAGGGCACATGTCCATTGGCTACAGCACTCCTGGGGCAAGGGGTACATTCTGTCCATCCCAGTCTTTACCCCTTTCCCTTAGCAAAGTGACCCAAAAATCTCCCAAGGTGAGCTTACAAAGTCTGTGTGCAACCATTCACACACAGAAAAGCAGAACTGCTTTTTCTTTCTTTTGATACCATTCAGTGTGGCTTTTAGTAGTGAGTCTTAGTTTGTATGTGTTTCTTTAACGTCGGGAATTACCACATGAGTTCCATAAAGACTATTCCAGACTTCAGAACCCAAGAGGGAGGTGCCGAAACCTCCAAGCAGGTGTGCAAAATTACATACTCAAAGGAGTGGGTACGGGTGGGGAGAAATAGACCTTCCTATCACTTGCATAATTATGGGAAGAGAGGTGGCAAGCAGTTAGAACAGCTGCTTCCATTGAGAACAGATCTGGTCTTTGTCTGCAATCCAGGTATTGTGTCCAGGGTCCAATTGAGAAGGTGTCAGTGCAGCTAGGGGAGAGACTTGGGATAGTCCACCCAAGGCAGGGCAGGGGAGATGCAGGTCCTCAGGCAGGTCCTGTTCTGCGTGGCAGGTTTGGCAGGTGCTGGTGGTGGAGGAGTTGTCATTCTCTACAGTATGCACCTGTGTTGCTGTTGCATGCTGTGTTGTGGAATTGTTACTCACCCATCTTCCATCTGAGACACTCAGTCAAGAACTGACGGAGGTTTTGCCTCATGCTTGGGTAGTGGTTGTTGTTTGTCCTTGCTCACATATCTCCATCCTGATTTCCATGTCCCCACGTTCCTATATCCACATCCCCTGCACAGTCATGTCTGTCTTTCATCCTGTGTCCCTGTTCCTGTCCCCCTGCATCCCTGTCAATGTCCCTGTGCTGTGCATCAGTGCCATTGCCATTCATAGCCCTTACTCTCTCATCTGACAGGGAGAACAGCCCTGCTGCCTTTCCTGACAGGCAGACTACGCTTCCAGCAGCCTTGTTCCACCCGACACCTGTCCACCCCAAGGTCCAGCCTGGCCCCGAAGTTCGGATCTATGACTCCCACACTGGCAAGCTCATCAGAACAGGCTCACAAGGTCCTACACCAGTGTCTCCCAGCACCCTACCTGTCCACGGAGAGCCTTCCTCCTTCAGGTACATTGTAATGCTTGAGAATTTCCCTTGCTGATAAGAACAAACATCTAGTGTTAATTTTAGTTGTTTGATGGCCCTGTTAAGGTTGTCATGTCAGGGACCTTCAATCTAGACAGGTGGCACTCAGAGTTCTGTGCAGTCCTGGGTTTGCATTAGTGACCTAGCTGAGGGCAGTGACTCCATTGTGTAGAGTTCTTCTGTCCCATCTTGGGTTCCAAAACTGAAAGTAGAGCAACTCTATATCTAGCCTGTTTGGTGTCCCACACAAACCCTGCACTATGTCAGGGTGCTTGGTGTCGTCTGGGTGGTCAAGAGATATGCCCTGGGGTGCCCAGCAGAGGAGGGTCCTGCAGAGCTATGTGACCCTCCATGCCACACTCTACAGGCCTGGCCTTGGCAGGTGCATGTCCTGGGCACCTGGTCCCATTCCCATGCCTACAGCAGACTCAGGAGGGGTGCAGTGCCAGTGGGTCAGAGGGACGTGGAAAAAGTGCTAACTGGATCAGAAGACATTTGGTGGCAGGGTTGGTGCTGCCTCATAGTGGGGGACCCTTCCTGACTGCCTCCTTCTCTGCATGGACTCATCAACCTTCCCCAAGGTAAGCCCCGAGAACCACCCTATGAGCAGGTTTAAACGAAGAGCCTGGCTATTTTGCACAGTAGGCATCACCTTGAAATTTCTTTGGTCATGGTCAGTGTATGGTCATCTGTCCATTCACCTTTTCCTTTCCAAAAGCACCTGGGCCTTCCCTGGGAGTTACCTGTGTGCTTAGCAACCCAGATGTTGTAGTAGCTTTGCCCTGGCTGCAAGTGGACCCTGGCAGTCTTAAGAAATTGGCATGTTTCCAGAAGAGTGGTTTTTATGGTTGGGCAGGAACTCAGACCCATGTCCACACCCTCTGGCCTGGCCTTTGTGGTACTAAGGACTCAATCCAGCATTAACACAAACAGAAAAGCCAGAGTATTAGTTCAGGGCCAGTGTGGAGAGACTTTCCCCTCTTCCTAGACTTGGACACACCCTTGATTCACATTGGAGTGCAGCTACTATTTCATGATTTGTAACTATCACCACCACTAATGAGACTTCAGCTTTCTTCCTGTGATGTGATTTTCAGTCATTCACATGGTTAAGTATGGTCCAAGCACTGCTGCTCATAACCCTGTGCCTTGACTTTCCCAGAGTTGAATTGCTGAGTTAGCGGTCACATGTGTTTTTAACCATAATGAATAGAATCAGCCGTCTTGTCAAAACCTTGCAGCTCACCCTGCCACCAGGAGGCCTACACCCACATTCTGCAGAGGTGTGTGCAGGTCACACACCATAAGAGGCTGATGGGAGGGGTCAGTGGGCAGTCTCCATGTGGATGTGAGTGAGCCACTCGGATTCCACTCTGCTGAATTTCTTTTTTTTTTTTTTTTTTTAATATGTTTTCTATCCTTTTATTTTTCTGTTGAGTTTTTGTAAATTTTTTGGTTTTGTCCTTCTGGAAAGTTTGCTGTAAGTTAAAAAATATTCTGAAGACGTTAACCACTAAAATGCAGAGTAAATGCCCTCATTAACACCATGCCACCCATTTTCTTGGCTGTGCACATCTTAATCTTTTTTAAACAGTACAGAGCATTAGATATTTTCCTTTGTAGTGAACATCTTTGGTTCAGACATTTATAAACAGCATCCATCAAATTAAGTGCTCCCCAGATGCACTATAAAATTTTTCCTGAAATTTTTCACGATGGACTTACACTGAGCCCCTCTCCTCCACTTTCAAATTCTGAGATAGTTAATATTCTCTCGGTAAATTCTGCTCGTTCTTTATCCTGTAGCCTGATTCAGGACACAAGAACAGCAGGCATTGGAGCACCCTCCTGCCAGAGCACTCACAGCTATGTCTGCTGACAATAATTGGGAATAACTCCAATTCATGTTACCATATGAGAAACTTGAAACTTGAGTTTTGACTTGTAGCACTGTGTATATATTTTACTGTTCTCAAGTATCTCAGAGGTGGGCTGCTGTTTTCAGTCTAGTTCTTTCACACCCTTTCTTAAAACTTGAGTGTATATAGATTTTCAGTTGTCCACAACTAGTAGCAATACATGCTACTTCACCATGTGTTGTGCGTCACGTGTTTCCTTTTATTGCCAAAATGTCCCTTAAAATGGTGAGACTGTTCTCCTTTCTCAAGGGTCCTAGGTTTGAAAGTAAATAGTATGGGTGTCAGAAAACACAGATGGGGGTTGCTGTGGACCTGCTGGGCAAAGGAGCCGCCCTGATGTTGCAATTTGCAGCACAGCTACAGAACTGTCAGCCTCAATGGGCAGCACTGGTGGGTGCTCTGTTCTCCACCCTGAGGAGCTGGCATCCTAGCTGTTCTACTCTGTGCCACAGAACACAAGGACAGCAGCCCAGGAGATGAAGGGGGCACCGGGTGGCAAGAAGATGCATGGCAGTACATGTTGTTTTGAGGTAGAAGGTTGGGCCTCTTAGGGCAAGGTGGGAGGCTGGTAGAGGATTTTAAAGAAACTTCTGGTGGAGCCCCATAGCAGAAACAAAACAACACAGTGCCAGCTCAAAACCACGTTGCACAGCAGCAAAGAAACACGCCCACAGCCCAGGTCTGTGCTGCTCCTTTACACGGGATACAGAACAACCGAGACAGCCCAAGGACCTGAACCTTTGGGCTTCCCAGGTGCATAGTACATGAGTAGACAGGTGTGCTCATGAGAGAGGAGATTCCTACACCACAGGCAGGAATGCAGCATTCAGCCCCCAGGAGTCAGTGGTGTGATGAGCAGTCCACCATGGGTCACAGGTTAAGTGGCAAAGGTAAAGTGTGAGGGTGATTGTTCTAGTGCTAACCATCAGCTCAAGGGTGGAGTAGGTTCAGCATTTGGAGATGTGAGCTCTGCCAATGTTTACTGAGAACTCACACCCTTTGACCAAGGTCTGTCTTTAGGAATTGTGCCCTAGAAATTAGAGCACTAGTCTGAGTCTCTGTGGGGAGCAAGGAGTTTCCTGTGATGGAGCAGCTTTAGCTGTCCCGCTGAAAATAACTTAAATGTTGTGGACACACGTAAACTGCTGTGTGGAATCCTTGGGGAGGGACCCCTAGATCAGCAGTGCTCTGGCTTACATCTACCCTCACCTTCCCTAGGGTTCTGTGCTGGGTGGCTGTAGAGGCTCTGGGGAGTTGAGACAACCACAGCAGCTGGGACTTGCAAAGCAAAATCTAGAGAGAAGAGGACCAAGGAGCAGCTAGACTACCTTGTGGTTCTCAAGCTGTGCATGCTTCAAGAGCCTGGGAGAGTCATGGACAAAAAACAGCTGTGGAGGGAGTGAGTGCCTCCAAAGTAATGGTGGTCAGTATGTTCACTGAGGCAAAAAGGTTGGTAAAATAGGTGGGAAACTCAAAAGAGGTCTCAAGATAGTCTCAGAAGAGGTGTGTGGCCTGAACCCTAGGATTCCTGACCAGGAACTCCGTCCCCGTAAAGTTGAGTTGTGCCCACTCTAAAGCCCTCTGAATTCACTGCTTGGGGTTTTTGTTGAGGTCCCATTGTGTGTGCATGGTTGATTGAATCATTGGCCATCTGTGATTAGCTTCATGTACATGCACACCTTCTCTGGTGGTCAGAGGTTCCCATCCTGAAACCATCTCATACCTCCCTGGAGATCCCATGGTGGTAGCACTCATGTCAGGACCCAGGGACCCCACAGGACTTCACCTTTGAATGCTAATGTCTCAGTGGTCAAGTGGTCCGTGTTTCTGTCGCCAGCTGTGTTCTACAGGGTATCATAACCTCACAGCTTTTCACTTACTCTTCCTTAAATATAAAAGGTAAAGCATGTTGTCTTAAGCTGTATGCAATGGTTAAAGATTAGATACAGAATTTTTTAAATTGTTTTAGCCTTGCTTGAAGTGTGTGTTAGTAGACTGAATCTCCAAGATAAGTGCTTCCATGAGCAGGCTAATAATAGGTCCTTGAATAACTGATAGTATGGCAGCAGAGAACCACATGTGTATTCTGAAGCTGCAACTACAACTCAGACTTTGGTGCCGTGCTGTGCCATCCTAAGGGAGGACACACTGGCTGTAGTGTATTCTGGAGAGGTAACTCTTGGTGACATTTTCTTCTTTTGAATCTAGAAGTGTGAAGTATACCAAGATGCAAATTTTTTTTTAGTTATTACCAACTCATTTAGAAGATAATAAAATGATTCATTCAATGCTACTTTGTAGTGGAAAATAGCACTGTGTGTCTAGATGAGTATCATCCCAGTCTATAGTTTTTCCTGGGGGTTTCCAGATAAACTTTTTCACACCATTGCTCTCCTCACTTAAATGTGTAGGAAGCTATAAGTGCTCCAAAGTTAATGAGTATCTGCACTGCTTACTGATACTTCTGTTTTCAAAATTGATGAAATGACCAATTTACATAAGGAAAAAAGGAGTCCCTAACTCACTCATCTCTATCCCTAAGTGTCTAGACACAGCATAGACATCTGAGGAATCTGACGTGTCCAGGTATGAGAGCAGTGATCTCGTTGCATGTTCATGCCACAGTGAGGACTAGTGGATGAATTCAGTCCCACTCCGTTCACCTCTCGTGGACTTGGGTTCAGGTGGGCTTGACCCTTTCTTTGTTGGGTGAGGAGACCTGGCATATTTCATCTTAATGGCACTGTAGAAGTGTTCCCTTTTAACTTAAACTCTAGAGCCTTCTTTTCTGCATTTTGCTTTTGACCTTGTGTCATGCCTGCCAAATCTTGAGCACTGGACCGATGATGTAGTGCTGGTTCATTTCTCCACAAGTGGGTCCTGGCACTTGCTGACTTTGCCATCTGTAGTCCGAGCTGCCATAGTGCAGGCTGTCTGCTCTACATCATTGGCCACTGGGAACCTCGACCTCCATGCCAGCCACCCCTGCACAGCAGCACCATGCCTCGTCTTCTGCAGGCCCCTGCACCTGCTGTAGTTCTGGAAATCTCACCCCTCCCCCTCTTGGAGAATGGTGGCAAACCTTGTTCCATGCCTGGAACCCTGTGCAGACCGATTGTGACAGGGTGCTTGACCTCCTGGGCAGTGAGCTCCATGCTTATTCCCTAGGCAGGAAGCTGTAAGTTTTGCTGATCTTGATTTGGTATTTTGTTTGGAGTGGGAATGTGTTGGAGTCTCCTGGACTTCTCAGCAAGTGTTGGGACACGATGTTTAGGACATGTGCAGCCCTTCCTCCATGATGCCCAAGTGTAGAAACCCAGTGAAAATGTGAAGTTGAACATGTGAAGTGAGGGCAGACCTCTCAGCCCACATGCTGAGTGTATGGGAAGCCCAGAATCTGGTGGACCAGGCACAGAGGAGAATCATGCAGCCTGATCTTGGACTTGCTGGCACAACTGAGGTCCCATCAGGAAGCTGGAGCAGTACCCCTCAGGAAGAGGCTGGACCCAGTCTGCTAGGGACACTAGGCTCAAGCATCTCAAACCAAACATACGTTAAGGATACACTGATGTTCTAAAGAGCAGTTTCCTGGGGGCAGTTAGTTGCAACATTTGATTTCTTTGATTAAACTTTTTATTTGGAGATGTTTTCAATTTACAGTGAAGTTGAAGAATAATACAAAGGTCCCTGCTGCCCTTCACCCTGGCTTCCCTAAGAGTTGTATCCTGCAAAAGCCACTCCCAGCAGCAAGAAGTGACAGGACACAGTCCCCACATAGAACACCAGCCCTCAGGATCCTCCTGCACCCTCCATAGCCACGTCCCTGCCTCCCCTGCTGTGCCATCCCTGGCATCACGCACTTGTTCCAGCTCCGCAGGAAAGCCACTACAGGATGTTGAAACAGAATCGTGGAGTCGGATTATCTTGAAATGGCTTTTCAGCTTTTTACTCCACACAGTTCCCTGGAGATCACCTGGGTGTGGCTGTGCCATGGCACCTGTGGTGGGGTAGACAACTGATTTTAACTACTCACCCTTTGGAACACATCTGGCTAGGCCCCAGCTTTTGCTGTGAACATGTGCATAAGTTTTCCTTTCTCTAGAATAAGTAGCCAGGCGCTTGAGTGCTGAGTGGGTACCAACTGTGTTGGCTGTGTTAAGAAACGTCCAGGCTCTTTCCAGAACGTCTGTCCTGTCCTGTCCCACTGGACACATGTTGGTGTCAGCCATTCTGATGTGTGGGTGGTGGTGACACTGTGGCTAAGGCTTGCATTTTCTTAGGGTAATGATGCCAAGCACCTCTTCATGTGTTGGCTTTCCACCTCCTGCCCTCTTCAGTGAGAACGGCCACTTGTGTCTTTCTAATTGGAGTGTTTGTTCTCACTGTTGATTAACAGAGCTCTGTGTGTTTTAGTACTTGTCCTTGTTGCAAATACCTTCCCCCAGTTGTGGCTTGTCTCTTATCCTCTCAACATGGGTTCTTTGACATGCCAGCTTCTAACTGGCATGAGGTTCTGCATGCTAGCTTTTCCTCTTAGTAGTTAAGCTTCCATGTCCCAAAGATTCTGTCTAATATTTTGTTCTGAAAGTTGGCAGAGTGGCATTTGATACATTCATAGTCCATTTTCAGTCAGTCTTTGTGCAAGCTGTGAGGTTTCTGCTCCTTCAGCCCTGGCCACTGGAAATTCTGTCCTCCCTTCACCTGATTCCCACCTGTGGACGCTGCTAGAATGGTTGGCTGTGGGCTTTGTAGGTGCTCTTCGTCACATGGTGGGGTTCCCTTTTTATATTCTATGACTGTTTTGGCTTTTGGTCATACTGGCCATTTGAACACAGGGCCTCATGCTTGCCAGGTACTTGAGCAACACACCCCTCACCCCCAGCCTTTTTTTGCTTTAGTTAGTTTTTAGATAGAGTCTCACTTTTTGCCCTGGACTGGTCTCAGACTGTAATTTTCCTCCCTGTGCTTCCCAGTTAGCTGGGATCACAGGCATACATCACTACACCTGGCTTGTTTGCTGGGATGAAGCCTCAATAATTCTTCACCTGGGCTGGCCTAGAACTACTATATTCAAATTCCATCTCCAGGGTAACTGGGATTACACATGTGAGGTACTGTACCTGGCCCATCACTGTGGATTTTTGGTTTTTTAAAGAATTCTGTGTCTTAATTGATTAGATGGTGTGGTTTTCTTCTTTACACATGGAGGATTACTTTGATTGGTTTTGGAATATTAGAACAACCTGTAACTTTGGACAAACACCACACTTCAGTGTATGGTGATTTTTTTTATGCCTTTTTGTGCTTGTTGACAGACATAGCAGCCATGGATCTTGGGTTTTCATCCTTTGTGCTGTCTCTGTCCCCTTTTCATGGCAGTATGACCACTTTGTAGGGTGGGTTAGGATGTATTCCCTTCTCTTCCCTTTTCTCAATGAGTCTGTGGTAGGATTCTCTGGTGAAACTCTCTGGTTCTAGGAGGTATGTTGTTTGAAAATTACATCTTTGATTTCCTTGGTAGTTGTAGAGCTATTCCTGTTATATGCTCATACTGGGGGGTTGTGACAAGTTGTATTTGGAAAGCTGTTGGTCAGGGGTGGTGAAATGCAAGAACAGACTTTCTACTGAAAGCTGATTGGGAGTGCTGATATTCAAAGGTCAACAGAGCTTAGGTCAAGCTCAGACTCTCGGCCATTCCAGGTCTGTTGGTCACAGAGACCTCGGTAGGGATGCTGGCCCAAAGTGCACCGAAACTGACAAAATCACCCCTCTTCTTGCCTTAAAAGACATTCAGACCAGTTCAGCAAACCAAGTGAGGCATCCTGGGTCCCTCTCAGGGTGTGTGCAAATTCTCCCTCTTCCTGGGACACCTGGGTGGGGCCAGATTTCTCCAGTGTTTCCACCAAAACAACAAAGCACAGCAGGCTAAATATTGACTGGAGAGAGTAACAAAAACATACAATAAGCTACTCCCATTACATCCCTTTTCAATTTAGAAATAGTTTTTATCTTAAAAAGTTACTTGTGTTAATACCTAATGGTTTTAATACTGTTATTTTTAAGTGAATTAATGCATATTGAAGATCTTCCAGATAAGCCAGGTGTGGTAGCTCACGCTGGGTATGCTAAACAAGTGGATACAGTCAACAGAACACCCTGGGTTTTTTGTACACGTGTTCTCTTTCAATATGTGTGCTGCCTAGACCTGAGCCAGGGCTCTGATGCAGAGCTGAAAAGATGCAGTCAGACAGCTTTCCTCATGCAGAACTATGAAATTCCTTTCAGAGCTGTTCAGCCACATCAGCAGCAGATGTTTGGTGAAGAGCTGCCCAGTGCTGGAGATGGAGAGCAGCCTGGCCCTACTAGGAGAAAGCGACAGCCCAGTATGTCCGAGACGATGCCGCTGTACACTCTCTGTAAGGAGGACTTAGAGAGCATGGATAAAGAGGTGAGCATGCCACACCCAGGCCAGGCAGTGGGGATCTATGCTCCTGGGGCCTGTGGTGTGTCTGCACGTGTATCCTGGAACCAGCACTTAGCAAGCGGAACCAGGAATCCTGCCTGTGTGGATGTGTGTCATAAGCCAGCACCCAAGTTGTAACACTGTTAAGTGATGCATCCTGTGTTTGTCAGTAAGAAAACTTAGACACCATGGTTTGGGCTTGCAGCAGGGTTCTTGGTCAACTTTGGTCTCTGCTCCCCTCACCCATCCCAAGGAACGTGACAGTGTCTGGGGACACTTAGTTGTCATGACAGTGGCACATCCAGTAGGCAGGGATGGTGCTCAGGATGCCCTGCCACAGAAACCATCCCACTAGAAAGTCGATAGAACTCACACTGAGAAACCCGGGTTAAACATATGCACATTTTATACCACTAAGTAGTTCTAGGCACATATGTGGAGTTAGTTTGTTTTTCCAAATGCTTGATATGGGGAATAATGATACCAGACTCCACATCCACTTTGAGTTGGAGTCTGAATTACAGTGGCGATATTCCTTGAACAAAACTGAACTAAAAATAATTTTATAAGTCAGTATTGTACATTTCCTGATTTTTCATTTAAAACAGCAGGATACCATCATGTGACTCAGTGCCCACAAGCGAGTCCGGGCTTGGTCCTGTGTGGCTCCTTTGTCCCTCAGTCCTGCATGCTCCTTTTCTGGGGCCTCAGGCCAACCCTTTGGTAGAAGGTTTCACGCCAGCCAGGTATTCTGTGGCACGGTCTGTGCCATGTCCTTCCTCAGCAGACTGCTTTGAAAGGACTACTGTGGACAGTGGGCCTCCTGGGGAGCTGAGTGTGTGCTGGTGAGCATGCCAGCCTGAGCTCTTGCCAGCCTTGTAGGAAAGAGCTGCCCTGCATGCAAAGCTCCACTACCTCACATCTACAGAGCCACCATCATGCCGGGGAGACAGAAACAGCGTTTTCGTTCAATTGCAGTGGACTCAAGGATGAAAACAGTGTTTATTTTCAGCAGCAGTAGTAAAATGCAAATGATTGTATTCAGGATAGAATCTCATCAGTAACTCAGATTCTCTCCTGTCTGAGACGATAGCTTGTGTTGTGAAGATTAAACCTTTTTTCAGGTGTGCTGAACTTCTCTGCTTGCCATTATCTGCCATTTTGAACATTAGCTTTTTTTGTCTCATAAAAATGTTTTCTCTAAAATGTTTTTCTTGGCTAGGCATGGTGGCTCACAGTTGTAATCCCAGCTATTCTGGAGGAGTTAATCTAGGATTGTGGTTTGAGGCCAGCCTGGGCAAAAAGTTAGTGAGACTCTTATCTCAACAAACAATCCAGGAATGGCAATGCAAGCCTGTCATCACAGCTACTTGGAAGGCATAGGTAGGAGGATAATTGCCTGAGACCAGCCCTAGGGAAAATTATAAGCCCCTATTGGAAAAATAACCAAAGCCAAAACGGGCTGGAGGTGTGGCCCCAAGAGGTAGAATGCCTGCCTAGTGATCGTGAAGGCCTGAGTTCAAATTCCTGTAACCTATCTCCTCCGTGCCAAGAAAAAAAGGTTTCCTTAGTCACTGCTTTTTTGCACCCACACTTAGGTGGCCTTGTCTGGGAACAGCACCTGCTTCCCACTGGGCCCATGGTCTCTCTCCTCCAGGCCTTCTCTTTACCCAGCTGGGCTGCCATGGTGTGGTTTCCTTTCTGGCTTCCTGATCTCTTGCTAAGGGCCTCACATGCAAACAGTCCAGTTTGTCAGGTAGTGGCCACAATGTTGGTTTGTACTCGCCAGTATCAAAGGGGCCTCAAGTCTTCGTGTGAAACAAAAGTCTTAAATAATATAGCAACTTTCAGTCTCTGGGAAATCTATTTCTTTCTTTCAGAAATAAAAATTAAGCTTAAACGTCAGCCTCAGTTCCTCAGGAACAAGTGGAACTGAAAGGAGAGAGGCTCCAACTGTGTCTTCCTTTGGACTCAAGCTGCTGCTGGGTAGAGGAGAGTGAGGTGGAGGTTCCATCTTCTGGGAATGCCTGCAGTCTGCTTTGTTCCTGTGGCCCTGGGTCCTCCAGCACAGATTGACCCAGACTCACCCAGCCATAGCTAAAGCAAAGTGCTCCTGCCCTGCAGTGCCATGGATCCCAGGCCACCATGGGCTGAGGCAAGGTCCTGGAGCCTAGGGGCTCTTTTCCAGGGCCTGTTGCTGAACATGTGGGGCCGGTGCTGAGTTCTCATCCTGCCTTAGGGAAGAGGTGGGAAGGCCACACTCAGGCCACCTTGGACCATGTCAGATCTGCCAGAACAGAGTCCACATCCATTTTACACTTGCGTGCCACTCTGCATCCAGTCTGGGCCACCTGTTTTTGTGTCAGCCTCTGCCCCTTTGACAAGCAAAGAAGTCACTGCTGTAGGGCCATCCTTGTCCAGGTGGCCTCATCTTACCAAACACATCGACAAAGTTCCTATTTCTACATGAGGCCCCAGTTACAGGGACCAAGTGCATCTTTTAGGGGGTGCAATTCCACCTGTTTCATAGAACTTCATGGAAATTGAGCACTTTCTCTCTTGCCAAATACACTCTGATACACACACCCTAACCTGTTACCATCTGGGGTATTTCCCTGGGAAAATCAGAGCAATTCTCTTTGCTTTTGGAAAAGAAAGTTTCAGTCTCTCTCTTTTCCATCAGATGGCTGACTATTTTTATTTTTGTATTTTAATGTAAATCCATTTTAAATAACTACCTCTGTCCGTTCAGTGTAACTTGTGGAGGATTTGATTTCTGGTCCAGCCGCCACAGAATGTTCACTCACTCACAAATTTATGGACCTCTGACTGGGTGGACAGGTGGTTTCCTCTCTCCCTGGGTAGACAGGGAGGTTTCCTCTCTCCCTTTGTGCAGTACTTGCTTGTTTTCTGATACTGTGTCTTTGAAATACTCTAAAGGGCAGGTGCTCCTTTTGCAGGGAACCTCTGCTGGGCCAGCATTGCTGGCTTCCTGTCATTCACCAGAAATGCAGCAGACAGGCTCCTGTGTTTTCAGCCCACCACTCCCAACTCCTTTTCGGAAGTTTCAGGGGATGGCTCCTCCATAATTAGCAGGAGTAAGCACACGACACAGACTTCCTGCCAGCACAGACCCTCTGTCAGCCTCCTCCTAACCGAGACCTCAGCTTTCCTTTCCACCCCACACAGCTGGCCAGCATTTTGCTCATCCCTGCTCTGTGGCTCTATACTTCCCTTGTGCTGCCAGGCCTTTTTCCGGTGGTGGCCTCCACCACGTTTATCATGGTGGGGAAAGGGTTCTAAGAAGTGAGCTCTCCTTTCTTGTGCTCATTCTCCCTGACTTTGTGGCCACTAGTCCCTCTTCTCTCATTTTCAGCCTGATTTCCTGATGACGTCTTTATCCAGAAGCCCAGCTTCTAATGGAGTCTTGGGTACCATCTCATATGAGCAGGGAAGGCCAGTGCATCCAAGCATTGTTCTGAGAATTCCATTCTCTGCCTAAACCCACTCGGTACCCCATTGCCTAGAAAACAAGTTAAGAGATTGCAGAATATGAAGTCCATGAAAATTAACATGGTGCTTTTTATGTCCAGACTGCTATCCAGTTCTGCATTGAATTTTCATAGACACCAAAGAATCTGGTGACCTGGTAAAGTGCCCTAAGGTAGAAGCCAGTCTGGAGAGGGGTGCAGGACCAAGTGGGCTGGAGGGTACCCGTTTGGGCCACCTTGTCACTAACAGCACTGTGGTTTACTAGATTAACTAGACTACCCAGGCTTTGCCACTTCCACATTATTCTGATGTTAGGTGCAGCTATTTATGGGAATGTGCATTGGACAATTAAGTGTTCATCAGAGCTGCAAGTTGTGCAAACACAACCAGGCTGCCACAGACTTCTCTCACAAGCAGAGATAAGCCTCCGTCTGTCCAGCCCATGGCTAGAATGTGACTTCACTTTATTCAGTGCCATTTGTCAGGCCAGGAGTTGTCAGCTGCCCACAGGACAGTGGAGGAGGAAGGGGAGCAGTCTGGGTACAATTGCAAAGAGTCAGCACCCACGCCCATGTTCTCCTGGAGGGTAGTGGCAACTCTTACCATGAAGCAAAACACATTCTTCATAACCCAGCAAAATCCAGCCAGGGCACAGGAACCAGGCACTGGGTACCCTAAATTCCTCCTGTGGTTTTTTAAATGTTCATAATAACCTTGGCTTCCCTCAGTCAAGGTTAACAGTTGGAGCCAAGAGCTGGAGGGAGGCTGCTGGTTCCAACCCCTTCTGAAGGTTCCTATATGACACACAATAGCTTCCTGCAAGCCAATCTGAGGATGGGTATGTCCCCAGCTGCACAGTCTGCTTTTCTCCTTTGGCCCTGACAGCAGGTGCAGCAAAAGACAAGCTTCCCCATTGCACTGGGTTACATGGAGTTTCACATGAAGACCATTGCAGGCTCATGGGTTGCAAGCCATTGGCTGTGAATTTGAAAGAACATTCAGAAGAAGTGTTCCATGTGGAAGACACCTGCACATCTGCTGCATGTCAGAATGTGAATGCCTTGCCATAGCAGGCTAGAGGCTGGGCTCAGAAGGCATACCTGCACCACGAGACACCTCTGCTGTCCTGAGCTGCCCGAGCACACCTCTTCACAGACAAGAGTGAGCTGCCTCACCTGTCTTTCCTGCTGAATGTGGCGATGCCTCTCCCACGGTTCCCTTCCTGTTCCTTAATTATCGCAGATTGCTTGGTGTAGTTGTTCCCCAGTTTTGGGCATTTGTCAAACCTGTAAACACTGCATAGCCCTGAGTATGTGAAAACAGGACAGAGACCCCTGCTGGAATAGAACAGCTGTCATCCCTAACAAGGATGGAGGTGGTTTTGCCTTCTACATCTGTTCATGAAAGAACTCAAACTACCCAGTTTTAAGAAGCTAGGACACATATTTTGTCTTGATGTATCAGCAGATTCTTTCCATGAATAGTAGAGCATCTTTTGCAAGAGTTCCTTCAATAAGGTCTCTGCTGGAAACACCTACTTTAAATATAATAAAGTTTTAGGAGCTGGCGATCCATATGGTCACCTGCTGGCTTCATGCAGTCACTCACGTCTGGGGCGCGCATGCACGCAAACACACACGTGTCCTTTGCTTTCCAGGTCCCAGTATCTGGGGGTTCTGGGACACCTGTGCTGTCCTGAGCTGTGGTGGTTATGCTGTGGCCCAGCAGAGGGAGCTCTACAGGCAGGCTGTGGCCCTGGTCCACACAGTGAGTGGTTTTCAGGGAGAGTCAACTGCCCCTCATCATGTAGCCCCCTGGTTCCACTGCAGTCAGAAGCATATCTGACTTGTTTCTTCTGTGAGCCTGGCTGGCGCCCTGCTCACAAGTGCCCATTCAGTCTGAGCACGGTTGGAAGTTCTGTAAGAGATCCTTTTAAAATCTTTGACTTTTTCCAAAGAGTTATGAAATATAAGCAAGTCTAACGAGGATCATCTGCATTTGCTTTTGTCCTGTGCACACACAGGAGACTTCTGCCAAGGGAAGGTGGACGACGGGTGCAGGTAGACGCAGCACCAGCAGCAGGTCAGGCTGCCCTCGTGTGTCAGCCCACGCCATGTCCGCGTTGGCCAGCCACTATTTTCACCACATGGCCTCTTCTCCCAGGGTAAATGAGATTGGTTTTGTTGTTGTTGCAGTGCTGGGGAGGAACCCAGGGCCTCGCACATGGTAGGCACATGCTCTACCACTGAGCCACATCCCAGCCAGGATCATTTACCCTATAGCTTGGTGGTTTTATTTTTATTGAATTTGTTTAGGATCCATGAGCTACAAGCTTGGTGGGTTTGTGCCCAGT